GTTCGCTTCTTGACGTTCAGGTTATGTCAAGGTTAAATTTATTTAAAATTATTTATTTAAAAAATTTATCGCTCTGTTTATCGATCTGGGTGACGGGTATGCTTCCGCGGGGGCCCCGTCACCCAAATATGGGTGACGCTCTTCTTATTCAATTTATAGAACTTTCAGTTGGATTTTAAAAGGAATAAAATGGTATAAGCACTGAAATATAAATATAGGATATACAATTTAAAAATACTAAAAATATTATACTATATACATATTATATTATACTTTTTACTAATTTATATTTAGTATAACACATTACATTATACTATGTCGTATGCTGCGCGTTGAAACATTCTAAACACATTTGAGGTAATTTTGAACAATTCGAACGATAGGTCGTAGTTTCTTCTACATTTTTGTTCGCTTCTTGACGTTCAGGTTATGTCAAGGTTAAATTTATTTAAAATTATTTATTTAAAAAATTTATCGCTCTGTTTATCGATCTGGGTGACGGGTATGCTTCCGCGGGGGCCCCGTCACCCAAATATGGGTGACGCTCTTCTTATTCAATTTATAGAACTTTCAGTTGGATTTTAAAAGGAATAAAATGGTATAAGCACTGAAATATAAATATAGGATATACAATTTAAAAATACTAAAAATATTATACTATATACATATTATATTATACTTTTTACTAATTTATATTTAGTATAACACATTACATTATACTATGTCGTAGTTCTTTCTACATTTTTTTTTCGTTTCTTGACGTTCAGGTTATGTCAAGGTTAAATTTATTCAAAATTATTTATTTAAAAAATGTATCGCTCCGTTTATGTTTCGGTGCTCCATCGGTCGGATTTGGGCCCCGCGAGGAACTCAACCGAATTGCGCTGGGCGACGAACGTGTTAAAGCTAACTTTGCAAAATGCGTGGAACGAAATTACAATAATCGAGTGTGCGACAATCAAATGATCTTTGGAAAATACTTCAAAATTGTATTGAAGTGGAGGAAGCAAATTTTGGACAACAAATGTAAATCTTATTGTTCAGTTTTGTGATTAATACACGAAACTGGTAAAATATGTAGAATGTAAAATTGGGGTGCCCTTATTTTCGAGAGAAGCAGCTGAATATAATATACAAATATAGTTACAGAATTTTCTACACATCGTGTAGAAAATCGTGATATAATATACAAATACAATTACAGAATTTTCTACACATCGTGTATAGTAGTATCCAGAATATCGACCTGCTAAAAATTGTTTGGTACGCGTGTGCTACAGCATAAACTGCTTGCAATGAGCTCATCTGCTTACAAAGTGGCCTATGACGCAACTGAGCATAGTGTCCTTAATTTACAGAAGGAAATTGCAGTTTCCCATCGCGCGAAACCCGAGGATCCAGGATAACCGATACAGTCACGCGTTCCTGGAATAGAAAACCGTTTGTTAAACGGTTCTAAAATCCGCGACCCGGTTTCCAGGCTGTTGTACAACGATCCTCGCGAAGAATAACTGCGCGGCTGCCAGACGCGGACTAAACGCGGCGAAGGGTGTAATCACATTTTTGCCAAACTGCTCGCTCGGCGCAACGAGAACTGTATGGATAGAGGTCGCGGTGCAATCGCGAAAAGGAAAAACGAGACAGGTGAGAGGAAGAGAAAAGGGAGAGCGTGGAACTCGTTTCCACGCTGGGACCACCCTCGAGTTTCTACCCGAGAGCACACGCGTGTCTCTACTTCTACCCAGAAATTACACGCTCTATTACTATCCCTGTTTTTTATTGTTTGACCCCATTAACTGCGAAATTTCTTTTTCTTTCTTGCATTTTTGACGGGAGAAGTTATATACATGCACAAACAGTTGTGTAACAATTATATTCAAATTGTGTTCTGTTGTTAAAATATTTTATGTTTTTTGGGAAAGTCCCAAGTGGAGATTGTGGCAGGTTGCATCAATAAAAGAAGGACTTTTATTTATTGTATAAAAAACAAAAGACTGACTAAGTAACACATAATTACTATAACCTCCAAATTACATATTTATGTATGATATTTAATTATAATATAAGAACTAAAAATATCATGCTTCAAATATGATAATTTTGTTCACTGATCAGACTGACTAAGTAACATAACCTCCATATTACATATTTATGTATGACATTTAATTATAATATATTATATTATATAATATTATATTATATTATATAATATTATAATATTATATTATATTATTATAATATAATATAATATAAAATTTAAAATATAATCCAAAATAAGCACCGTCTGCTATATAAACAATATCGTCTGATACTTTTAGAATAACATTAAACTGTCACACGCACATGATATATTCTTCGCACCAAGTGGTGTACGTAAAAATTCCAAAATCCCGCAAATGGGGATCGTGGCAGTTAATGGGCTAATAACAAAGCGATCGCCACCAGCAAAAATACTCGGACAATATTTTCTCGGTCAAGCTTCGATGTATTAATGTTGCTGTTTGTTTCCTACCGCCCTTACACCGACATTTCCTCGGTCACGAAGTAATTATGGAATCAGCGGGGAACATTGTTATTAGCTCTGTTCTCAGGCATTGTTAATCCTCGTATACCCTTTAGAAATATTGTTTCACAAAAGACTGTCTTATAGATCTCGTTCCGGCTTCGTTTGATACTTTAATCCGACCATGCGGTTTTTCTACGCAATATATACATATATAAAATTGTGAGAAAATAGGTAGGAGAGCAATTTTTACCCGAGGAGTGTACGAGAATGGGAATACTCAAAGTTTCATGATTAGACTGCAGATCTCTGTGCTGATGTGAATTCTTCTGAACTAGCGTACGGGAAAAAATGGGTACAAAAATCATTCTTTTTATATATTGGGTTGGCAACTAAGTAATTGCCGATTTCAGTTATAGATGTCTCTTACTCCCATTTTTATGATATCCGTAAATGTTATATTATAAAATTATTATTATTATTATGTTATTTTTTATTATCCGTGAATGTTAGCAACTGGACAAATTGAATGCAGCGATCAAGGAAAAGCGAGCAGAATCGGTCAATCGTAAAGGTGTCATTTTCCAGCAGGACAATGTTAGGCCGCACACGTCTTGGGAACACATTGGTTGGGAATCGATGTTACACCCACCATATAGCCCTGATCTCGCGCCGTCGAATTACCACTTATTTCGATCCCTGGACAACTCCCTTCGTGGTAAAACTTTTAACGATGACGACGCTGTAAAATCTCACTTAACTCAGTTTTTGGCCGAAAAGGATCAGACTTTCTACGAGCGTGGAATTTTCAAGTTGTCGGAGAGATGGTAAAAGGTCATCGAATAAAATGGAAAATACATTACAGATTAAACTTCGTTCCAAGTAAAACAAAATTTTCTATTTCATTGAACAAATCGGCAATTACTTAGTTGCCAACCCAATACAATCTTTAAGTAGCTATAATTCAACTAGCTACAATTCATTTAGATCTAGTTCAACTGGCTACAATTGATAAATTAGAAACATCTCATTTAGCCACTTTGTTCAGAAATTTTAATTTACTAGACTTTTAAATTTCAAGAAATGATAAAGATTCTATTAATCAGTTAGCAGTTACAGTCTATTCGTAAAGTGTGTAAGTTACTGTAATTATACTGTATATGTTTGATTTTCTTCATATTTTGTTTAAATACAAGACTTTTAATCCGCGATTGCTTTCATCGTGGAAAGTTTTAGAACCTAGCATGATCATACGATAACACTTCGAGTTTGCACAGTTTATGAAACACCCCTACAACGTTTTTTTATATGTAACTGACCGGGGGTGCCAGGAAATCCTAAAGAAGACTATGCAACAAATAAAAGATATACGCGTATCGTATTTAACAGACCACGAAATAAATTCATATTAATTCTTCGTACATTGAAAATATTTGATTTATATATTTTCCAACTATATCAAAATGAATGATCAACGTGCGAAAAGCGATTTTTCGTTATTACTTGAAGCGTGACAATATAACTTCTCATTGCGAAGTAAAAAGGCCCCCATTGTGAAACGTGTCGAACAAAAGTTAATTCACCGGTTAGCAGGTTAAGGCCGAAGAAGTGCTAATCAACGTGGTTGCGAAAGAAATCGTAGTGCTAACTAGTAAAATCGGTTCAATTTAATCGCCGCCGAAAATCTCTTGCATTAAATCGTTTAATTCGCTGACTCCGCACACATGCGCGACCACATACGTGCGCGCGAACTCCCTCGATCTTTCCCATCCAGGGATCAGCGAAAAAGGAGAGGACAAGAAGGAAGCGAGGGAAGAATCCTTCCTCCCCCTGCAACCCCCGTTTCCATCGAGGTATCGTGTACCCGTGCGAGCGGTGCTACCGTACGTAAGGTACACGGCGATGAAGAGGAGAGAGAGGAAGAGAGGAAGAGAGAGAAAAAGAGGAAGAGAGAGAAAAAGAGAGGAAGAGGGAGAAAGAAAGAGAGAGAGAGAGAGAGAAAGAAAGAGAAAGAGAGAGAGAGAGAAAGAAAGAGGGAGAAAGAAAGGAAGAAAGAGAGAGAGAGAGAGAAAGAGGGAGAAAGAAAGAGAGAGAGAGAGAGAGAGAGAGAGAGAGAGAGAGAGAGAGAGAGAGAGAAGAGCTTCGGAGAAGAGGTGTGCGGCCAGAGAAGGATAAGCGAAACGTCGACATACCTTGCGTATTTCTCGGCGTATGTGCTCCCGGAGCTCGTCGAGACGAGCCGGCAAGGGCACCTGGTCACTGCCAGCCACTCCATACTTGCTCGACAGTTCGTAAAGAACCGGGTGCCTGATGTAATCGCCCTGAAACAGATCCCGAATTCGATTATTCGACGGTATACCTTGCGCGAGCGATCTTATACCGTGAAATATGGGCTTCGGCAACAAGGATGTGATCGGTATACGGGGGCCCAGGAATGTCTCTGAGGGAGTATGGCACTGGGTGATATATCTATTAGAGCTAGATTTATGGGACACGACGATTAGATATCATAAATATCGTTTTTCAATGGTTTCCGTTGACAGTGATCGATGCAATGACAGGAATATGATGACCGGCTTTTTCCGCCGATTTTACGGCATGTGGTTGGGAAAGCCGTGTTTCTACAATTTCTATCGAGACAGTGGATCGTGGAGACCAGGCGTCGGTAACCTATGAACCGCGGGTCACCATTTGGACCATTTGATAATTTAACAATTACATTTGTTTCTATTATATATATAATATAATATAATTATAATATAATTATAATATATATTATATATAATTATAATATAATTATAATATAATAATATATATATTATATATTATATTATTATATTATATTATATATTATATTATTATATTATAATTATGTTATATGTATTATAAATTCCTATTATAATTGGAGCTATAACTTTGAATGTTTATATTTACCGTTTTATTTTTATTTTATCTTTCAATAGTAGAAGTTAAACATTTCTGTAAAGATCCTGTTATTTTAAAAGGTTTCGCGATGACCAAGAAAATGTTGTGTAAAATAACAAAACTAATTTTTCGTTCGTACTTTGCGAAAACTAAAAAGTGAGAGCAGCCCACAACATTTAATTTGACCATGAATTTAACCATAATAATTGTCTGAGATCGAATGGTGCAGAAACTAGAAAAAAAATACGTAACTTCACCTATCGGCAAAGTTCAAGAAATTAAGATCCATGGGATCATAAAGTGAATTTATTTTCTCGATCGTCTCGCGATAAACGTTTGTTCGCTCCAAACGCGGGCCGACGTTCGATCGTCGTGACGCGTACTTTTCCGCGAAATTCGAGGAATCGGTAGCTCGGAAATTTGCGGGGAAAACAACGGGCGAAGCGTGTTCGCGCCACCGGAAATTGTCTGGCGCGTACTGCGGATGTGCACACCGGCCGCTCGCTCATTCAATCGTTCACAGTTATAAAACTGTAGTCACAGGAGAAAATATTGATCTTAGACCGTTCCTCCCCGCGGGGATCGGCGGTCTGTGCACATTCCGATCGAACTATTAATACCGCTAATCGATCAATATTTGAATCGTTCGGCTCCCGGCCGACCTTGATCGAAATATACAATCAATTAAGAAGGCGCGATCGAAATGTATAATAGCGGCATCCGTTTGCGACGCGCGCGCGCGCTTCGGGCCTCCTGGCTCCTCCGTACTTAACTCGAATGAAACTTGAGTTTTGCGAGCAATTCACAGGCGACCGGTCTTCTGATCGAACGTTGCCGTATGAGTCTGCAGAAACGTCGCTGTTAAAATCAGTCCGTCCGCGAATTGAAAATTATGTGCCTCAATCTTGCAATAACGTTGGACGCGGATCGTTAAATTGACACTGATTTTGATGGAGTAATTCACGGAGGGAATGGAGTCCAGAAATTACTTCAGAGAATGTTTCTTCGCTGTTCAGTGGTGCGGAATTGTATAATAGACTTTTCTGTATCGAATTTTATAGAATGATTATTATCAGATAATTAATTATCTGATATTTGATTAATTATCTCTCCTGTTTGGTGTTTCGTCAGATGTAATTTCGCAGATCTATTTCAAGAACACTGTAACTTCCGTACTTGTGCGATAATGCCCGTTTACGAATACATAAATAAATAAATAAATAAATATTGTCGATGAGTTTGCTTCTAGTTGAAATTGCAGGATCAAATCCAAAATTTATTGTCAATATTGAGTTACTATAGACCGTGTCCCGAAAATGTCTCGCAATCCGGAAATGGGAGGTTCCTGGGGTCATTTGAAGCAACTTTTTCCTTTGCGAAAATTTTCTCCGAGGCTTCGTTTACGAGTTATTAACGAAAAACACTGTGACCAATAAGAGGCGAGCTCGCCTAGGCGCTCGGCGGCCGAGCCAATGAGCGCGCGAATTCCAGTTCCGCTCACTGGCTCGGCCGCCTCGCGCCAGCTGAGCTGGGATTCGACCGCTCGACCGCTGGCGCCGTTGGCTCGGCCGCCTCGCGCCAGCTGAGCTCGCCTCTCATTGGTCGCCGCTTTTCGTTAATAACTCGTAAACGAAGCCTCGGAGAAAATTTTCGCAAAGGAAAAAGTTGCTTCAAATGACCTCAGGAATCCCCTACTTTCGGATTGCGAGACATTTTTGGGATACCCTATATCCAGTAATCGTTTACGTATTCAAGACACTGAGTCGTGAATAGTACACTCAGCTTCGAAAAATTTAACCACAAATTCGTTCAAATGTATATTTCCAGGTTCTTAAAAATGTGAAGAGTATTTGTAAAATCAGACTGATTCACGCGAAACTATACACGAAGTTTCGTAACTATCATCGATCACTGAAAATTTGAAGAATCTGTGCGAAATTGTACCAGCTAACAAAGATGATCAGTTTCATAACCGGCTTTAGCAATCAAATGCTAACGAGGTAATAAGTTATGCACAATAATGCAACACGTAATTTCGTAAGTATGGCTTATAAGAATACGGTTTAACCAATTAGCTGTTGCGACCTCTTTGAAAACTGTTATATATATATATATATATATATATATATATATATATATATATATATATATTATTTATATATATATATAATTTATATAATATAATTTATATATATAAATACAGTTTTTTCATAGTAATTATTTATTTCTTTTCATTTGTTCATTCTATCTGTTCATGATCTCGATATATTCAAAACATCTAAAAATTTATATACGAATATATTTTAGTTCTCGCTAAAATTGCAAATTAAACAGCAAGTTTTTACGGCACATTTTTTTCATCACGAGTATACTATGCGGTCGGAAACGGCTGACTGGTTAACAATTTCGTACCAAGCGACATAAATATTCGTAGGAGTGCTGAATAAAAATGACAGAAAAATGACCAAAAAAAAATGGGAGGAAGAATTTCGACAACGTACCGCGCACGGTGAAACACAGTACCGAATGGCAGCGGGCAGATGTCCACAGCTTTTCGACTTCTTTCCCATCCCTCGCACCGAAATAAACGACATTGTTCAACAGTTCTGGCTGCGACGTTATAAATAACGCGGCGGAATTCCGCTTTATTTTATCGTACTGCCTTTTTACGGCCACGGGAATCCGCGTTTCCAGCGCAAAAACGCGGCGGCCAGTTCTCATCGGTGTCAAAGTAGCCGACGATAACGCACACGGCTAATTATCGTGGCTCGTTAATAGGCTCGTTCTATTAATCTATAGGGCGATCGTCGAGCATTTCGCTCGATCGTTCATCGGAGTCATCGGATCGAAACGAACGAGCACGATTAGATCCAATCGACCTATGCTTCATCACTCGGCCAGAGTGCACGCTGCCGGCGATGGGACCAAGTACACACGTTTACTCCTGTGCACCTGCGAGTATCGCGCCTAAGATTCGATTCATCGACTCCTATCGGAACTGCGGAGAGAGAGAAAAAAAGAACACTCGAATGATTCATGCGCTCGTTCACCGAGTATCAAACGACTGATATTGTGCTTTTATGATCGATACGCTGGCTTGTTGGCGTTGCGTCAATGCTGCACCGGCGATCGTTGATTTTATGTTTATCGGGTTGCAAATATGTGCTTTTGTTACCTAAGAATTTGATTTCGTATCATAAATCTGATTAACGTTGGATGAAGACTAAACCGAGCTTTAACAAACAAGAGCGTTAGAGCAACCGTTACGATGCAAATATAAATTGTAATTGATGTAATTGATGCAAAAATATCGTCGCGTTTTATCAGAGAGTATATCGTCGGATGGCCAAATTATTATTCCACTTTGTGTATCACGATTGACTTTTCCGATCGATTTTCTTATTTTCATTGTTGTTATTGTCATTGTCATTTTTATTGTTTCATTAGTTCAAATAAAAATGACAATGACAATAAAACAATGATAATAAGAAAATCGATCGGAAATGTCAATCGTGATACACAAAGTGGAATAATAATTTGGCCATCCGACAATATTGTTTCATTAGTTTAAATAAAAATGACAATGATAATAAAACAATGAAAATAAGAAAATCGATCGGAAATGTCAATCGTGATACACAAAGTGGAATAATAATTTGGCCATCCGACAATATTGTTTCATTAGTTTAAATAAAAATGACAATGATAATAAAAACAATGAAAATAAGAAAATCGATCGGAAATGTCAATCGTGATACACAAAGTGGAATAATAATTTGGCCATCCGACAATATTGTTTCATTAGTTCAAATAAAAATGACAATGACAATAACAACAATGAAAATAAGAAAATCGATCGGAAATGTCAATCGTGATACACAAAGTGGAATAATAATTTGGCCATCCGACGATATACTTTCTGATAAAACGCGACGATATTTTTGCATCAATGTTCGTGTTATCATAATCCAGATCCCACGTTTATTATTTTTCACTGCAACACATTTGCCTGATTAATTCGGCTGGGAAAGTAATAGCGTACGAGTTCCCGAAACCTGTGACTTCCAGCAAAACAATACCGCCGGTATATAAAATCGCGCAGGGAGAAACACCGATCGGAACAATACCCTAATCGCAGAAACGTGTTAATCCGTTCTCGAGATATTCGAGATATCGAATATTACACCGGCCGTCTACAATTGATTAACATAACACGAAGCGACTGATAAGTCTCGTTTTTAATTTCCTTATAGTTCATTGGTTACATCGAAAGGTTATAACGTTATAATATTAACGGCAACAATGGAATATCAGGCTGTTAACTATTTTAGCGGATTTTGTTCGAGATGAATCGACCCTCTTTTAGCGTATAGTTAAAGCAAGAAGAAGATTCTGA